TATCTATCCAGAATTCTTAACTTCACTCATCAAGAAGAAGCAAGATGTTGCTTCATCTTCAGATGTGTTTGTTACTCGGAATTGTTTTTCTATAAATTCTGCATCTTGGGTATTATATATCGGATTAGGATCTTACATTTGTAATTTGTTACAGGGGTTGAGAAGTTATAGAAAACTTGGAGCTGGAGAGATGACCCTATAAGTTGGTAATGGTGCAATAGTTGCAGCACTTGCAGTAGGGGATTTTCATCTAGCTTTGCCAAATAGAAACATTTTGATTTTGAAAAGCTCTTATTTCGTACCAACTATGATGTGTAATATAATATCCATATCTTTATTAGATAAAGATGGATATATATTCAAGTTGGAAAACAATGTTATGAATATCATATTTAATCAAAAGTTAATTGTTTATAGAATATTGTGTAATGGCATCTATATTCTTAATCAAAACACAATTCTGAATACTCATCACACTAATAAAAGAAAACACTCAGTTATGAACGACGCTTTCTTATGGCATTGTAGACTTGGTCATATTAATAAAGAAAGACTTGACGAGCTACAGAAGCATGGATATTTAGATCCATTTGACTTTGAGTCTTATGATACTTGCAAGTCTTGTCTTAAAGACAAAATAACCAAGACTCTATTTACGAAAACTGGAGCAAGAGTTACAGAACTCTTAGGACTAATACATAGTGATGTATGTGGTCCTATGTCTACAATTATCAGAGGTGGCTACTCCTACTTTATTACTTTTACTGATGATTTTTAAGATTTGGACATGTGTTTTTGATAAAACACAAGTCTGAAGCATTTGAGAAATTTATCGAGTATAAAAATGAAGTAGAGAACCAAACGAGCAAGAAAGTTAAAATTCTTCGATCGGATCGAGGAGGTGAATACTTAAGCTCGGAATTCTTTGGTTTTTTAAAAGAGAATGAAAATTCTTCGATCGGATCGAGGAGGTGAATACTTAAGCTCGGAATTCTTTGGTTTTTTAAAAGAGAATGAGATTCTCTCTCAGGTTACTCCACCCTTTATACCACAGCTTAATGGCGTGTCAGAAAGGAGGAATGGTACGTTCCATGATGAGTAACGCTGAGTTACCTTTTTTATTCTTGGGGTATGCATTAGAAACAGCAACACACTTACTGAATAGGGTTCTAACTAAAGCAGTGTCTAAACCTCGGTATGAGATATGGAGTGGGAAGAAACCACTTCTTAATTATATTAAGATTTGGGGATGTCATGCTTATGTAAAAAAGCAATATCCCAAAAAGTTAGACCATCTCCAATGGCAAGGCAAATATTGCCTTTCTCTCTCCTTCCACCTCACTTTATTCTCCCTCCACATCACTTGCCTTTTCCAATTGCCTTTCAACTCCACAACAACTAGTTTTTCAAAAGTTTTTCACTTTATCTTTCCTCCACTTGCTGACACGCGGGGCCCTTGGTGAAATTTAATCGGTAGGCAAATTTTGCCTTTTCTCTCCCCTACTTTTCATTTGCCTATCCACTTGCTTAGCTATTGCACCAAATAATTGTCCCAATTGTTAGCCATTGCACTTGGTCTTAGAGGCACGCTCAGTGTTGTGTAAATTTGTAGGATATTCAAAGAATTAAACCGGATATCAATTCTACCACATCGATGAACAAAAGAAAAGTGTTTCTCGGTTTGCTACCTTCTTAGAGAAGGAATTTCTTAAAAAAGAAATTAGTGGGAGCATGGTAGCATTGGAAGAAATTTCAGAGATACAAATTAATACTGATAATTTAGTAGAACCAGCAAATTCAGTTATACCAGAACAAATTAATACTGATAATTTAGTAGAACCAGCAAATTCAGTTATACCAGAAGAATCTCAACCACTCCGCAGATATCCAAGGTTTAGTAGAACCAGCAAATTCAGTTATACCAGAAGAATCTCAACCACTCCGCAGATATCCAAGGCGATCGCATGCACCTAAGAGACAATATGATTTTTTTGTTGAAGGTAGCATGTTAGATCACGTCATAGATGATGACGAACCTTTAAGTTATCAGCAAGCATCTCAGAGTAGCGGACTCTGTTGCTTGGCATGATATAATAAAATCCGAAATAGACTCTATGTACACCAACAAAGTATGGATCTTAGACAATGCTCCTAAAGGGGTGATACCCATAGATTGCAAATGGTTGTTTAAAAAAAAGTTGGGTGTAGATGAAAAAGTAGACACTTTTAAAGCTAGACTGATAGCTAAAGGTTTTAATCAAAGACCTAGTTTGGACTACGATGAAACTTTTTCTCTAGTGGCTATGCTAAAGTCTATTCGGATCCTACTTGCTATAGCTGCTCACTATGACTACGAGATCTGGTAAATGGACATCAAAACTGCATTTCTAAATGGTGATTTAGAAGAGTGCATATATATGTCTCAACGGATTTGTAGTCAGTAGGAACAGTGGAAAAACATGTAGGTTGCTTAAAGTCATTTATAGACTGAAGCAAGCATCGCGGAGATGGAACATCTGTTTTGATGATGCTATTAAAGAGTTTGGTTTCATCAAAAATCTAGATGAACCATGTGTATATAAAAGGATAATTAGGAGTATAGTATCGTTTCTTATTTTGTATGTAGACGATATACTCTTAATCGGTAATGACATACTGTCATTACAAGCGGTTAAAATTTGGCTATCAAAAAGATATTTCATGAAAGATTTGGGTGAAGCATCTTGTATACTGGGTATTCAGATCTATAGAGATAGATCTAAAAAGATATTAGGATTATCCCAATCTAGATACATTGGCAAAGTGCTAAAACGGTTTAGCATGAAAAATTCCAAGAAAGGTTTCGTACCTGCATCTCCTGAAATCTCGCTCTCTAAAAAGATGTCTCCCCAGACTGATGAAGAGGAAACACATGAGTCTAATTCCTTATACCTCGGCAGTAGGATCGATCATGTATGCCATGTTATGTACTAGATCGGATATCGCTTATTCACTCAGTTTGGTAAGTAAATTCCAATCTAATCATGAAAAAAACACTGGAAAGCGGTTAAAAATATACTTAAGTACCTGAAAAGGACTAAAGAGTTATTTTTGATATATGGTAAAAATGACCTCCAAATGGAGGTTTTTTCCAACTCTAGCTTTCAGAGCGATATCGATGATAGTAAATCTGTTTCAGGATATATTTTTACCATCAATAGAGGGGCAGTCAATTGGAAAAGTTCCAAGCATGACATAGTAGCAAACTCTACTATAGAAGCTGAATACATTGCGGAAAATGATGCAGCTAAAGAAGCTGTCTGGATGAGGAAGTTCCTTTCGGAGCTGGAAGTTGTTCCCACCATTAAAGATCCAATACATTTATATTATGATAGTAATGCTGCAATAGCTCTGAAAAAGGAACCCCGGTCTCAGCATAAGTCCAGACACATTCTGAGGAAGTATCACGTGATTCGTCTCTCCCGGTATAAGGGGGTTGATGTCATAAGATTATTTGATATAACTATAGCCTGGAAATCCTTGGCCAAGGTAAATAAGATAAACCGAGTGTCAGTTTGATCTTAAAGGTTATGATTTTAATATCAATAAACACTAATCGAGCTATTAGGGTTTGATTGTTTTCCATACCCTAGGCTCTATAATTTGACATGGTTTGACAAAGAGACCAGACTGTACGGTATTATCACTGAATGGTCCTGATAAAATTATGTAAGCATCTTACAGACATTTATCACAACTTATACCCGGGTAGTCTTCATGTGTAGCTAACACCTCTGTTGTACTTGTGGATATGATCCACTGCCGAGTCTTAAGTTGGGCCCTAGAGTCACACCAAGCGCGTACTTGAATCCTATAAAATAAAATTTATAGAGTTAATGCGTATGATTGATACGCATATATGATTTTCACCGGATACATATAAACGATTATATGTATCGGTAAAATCAGAATGCTATGTGCTTAAGAAATAAATTCTAATGTTTTTTTCCATAAAGTTAACATTTAGTCAACTGGTTGACTTTTTGGTCAACTCATTGATTCTTTTGTCATATGATGACTTATTAGTTAATGATTGGAAAATTTATGTAATACCGTATTTATGAAACACCGTATTGATGTGGTATTTTTATTTATAAAATACATACTTTATTATACCTTGATTAATGAGTCATGAGATGGGTTATTAAGGTGGTATGGTTTGGGCACATGGTTTTAGCACATAGTTTTGATTCTTCATGACTCTTTGCATGACTCATGAGATGAGTCATTGCATGACTCATGTAAGGAATTATTACATTTAGATGACTCATGGTATGACTTATGAGATAAGTCATGACATATCTCACTCTATATATATGAGCTCTCTTTCTTATGGAATGGTTAATGAAAAATTGGCTAAGTGGTTTTTTCCATAAGAGAATAAAAGAGAGCTATCCTCTTACTAAACTCTAGCAATCTTTGAGTAAGAGGAAGTAGTAGGTTTTTATAGTACCACGGGGTGAATATCTTGCCTTGTGTCTCAAGAAAACTCCAATTTTATCAAGCTCATTTGAAGATTTGGAGATCCACTACAAGGAGGTTTACAACAACAAGAAGAACGAGCTAGGGGTAGTTCGATCTACCATCGAATCACGCTACGAAAGTAAGCCTTCAAAGCTCTTAGTTGCTCTCTTTTTTATAGGGATCATGTTAGATTTAATTAGGATGGTCCTATCTTGTTTTTCATGCTCCCTACATGCTTAATATTTTTATACATATAGTCTTCCGTTGTGTATTTTGTATGTATTTAGCTCGTATTTTCACCACTCTCCTCTTGAGAATCAAGAAGGACTACCTAAAAGGATCAAGATAGAAGCATCCAACAGTGGTGGACCCTCCAACCAAATCCATTCTGATTCCAAGCTAGATATGATTAGGATTGAGGAGCCACCACCGAACTATATTTTTCTTTTCCTTCCCAACTTATGCCAAAATCTCCTCACCAATCAGCATCATGTCACTAATCAAAAGGCCATATATAATCTTACATGGAGCAAAAGCAACATCGAGTCCCATAAGCGGCGAGGAAAAATGACATCATATCATGGTCCACCCGAAAGTGGAACCAACTTTTCAATATAAACAAAAGACTATAGAAGCGATGATAATGATCCTAGGATCAGTTTGGCAAATTCCTCAACACCATCATGATCCAATTTTGGAATAAACGTTTTGATCCAAACGAGCGACGGATAAAAAAAAAAAAAAAAACCAGTTTTATGCTCCTCCTGTTGGTCTAAGAAATCTGATGAAGGAAGAGAGACTGAGAACGAGCAGAATCTTCAGTCTGCCAAAATGGAAAAATTGGAAGCCTGCCTCAATGCCATTGCTAACAGAAACGAGCTCCAAGATGAGAGAGTTGTCAGGCCCTATCCTGCCGAATGGGATGCAGCCCCTTATCCTCCAAAATTCGAGGTCCCGACGCTACAAACTTTTGACGACACGGGATCACCGAACCAACATATTTATCATTTCAAGTCACAGACTGGGAATGTAATATCAAACGATGCCATACTAGCTCGATTGTTCATTGGCACCCTCAAGGGAGTTGCCTTTGAATGGTTCAGGAAACTTCCCGTGGGATGTACCTAGGATCAGTTTGGCAAATTCCTCAACACCATCATGATCCAATTTTGGAATAAACGTTTTGATCCAAACGAGCGACGGATAAAAAAAAAAAAAAAAACCAGTTTTATGCTCCTCCTGTTGGTCTAAGAAAGACTAGTAGATCGACTCTGGCCCGCTTTTTTCCGGACAAGTTTCTTCTCAGAACGAAACCAAGATTAGACTTGGTCCAATTTCGGAAGGTTATATCAAACAAGCTCTTATAGAGTCCCCATCTTTTTAGACTATTTATATAGATTAAAAATGGCGGAAGCTAAATCGATCTCTTCGTCAACACCCAATATTCGGTCACAAAGTCGTTCACTATAATTAATTCATGATTGCTTAAGAAAAAGAAAGGCAAACCTCACCAATCTCATCATCATCCAATTACCAACTCCCCGGGCTCCCCTCTTTGATTTCGCCCATCGACACGAAGCCACATCACGTGACTTCCACGTGGTTACAACTCTCCCCTCCTCCCGGTCGCAGTCAGTAGTTGGAGACGATCACAAAAGACACAAAGCCAAAAGTAAGCTGCCACCACCCATTATTCTCCACGCGTCATCAGCCACCCCCCGGCAAACTGTTAGCCGTC